TTCCAACCTCATCTGTGTTATGTCACAGAAGATCTTCCAACCTCATCTGTGTTATGTCACAGAAGATCTTCCAACCTCGTCTGTGTTATGTCACAGAAGATCTGCCACACCCTTCTAACAATCCTCCCTCTCCTGGATTGTCCCGCTTACATTTTTTATCACCCCTTTTTGCCTTTCCACTTACGGACACTTCTGTCTCCCTGTCTCTCCTGAATGCTGACCTTCAACACACCATATTCGCCGTTGCCTTCAATCTTGCTCACTGGAAACTACCGAATCAAAACCAAAACCAATAGGCACATACAAATCCGATTCATTCATGTAACAAGCTCCAATTTTAGAGTATCATTTCCAACCCAATGTAAAGCTGTATCCTTGAAATACCGCAAATGAAAATCCAAATGAGGTTTCACTGCACGATCTTAAATATGATTTATTTGGGATAATGGTGCCAATTTATCTGTAAGGGCAGCTGTTACTGACAATTTCTCAATCGGAGTATTTTGAGACAGTAAACAAAGTAAGACAGAGCCACAATTTGTTGGCAAATCTGCATTAAGGACAAACCTTGAGTGTGGGTTTCCAAGTCAGATCCAGATGCTTAAAGGTTGTGGATACGGCTAGTGGGTTGTCTTTCTGCTTGGCGTCCTCGACGGATGGTGTGTGGCCCTTGGGTGGCTTGGTGTCCCAGATGGCAATACAGCTAATCATACAGATAACAGAAGTTAGAAAGCACACAGCAGACTTGGCCAAGTGCAATCAGAGCCTATCCGTCAATCACTGGTTGATTCTGCCCGATACCCAGGATGTATTTTATGCACAGGTTACCAGGCAAAATTTACCAATGGTGGGCAAATGGTCAATGATCGTAGTTGGCCCACGTCATGGGAACCCCTCAGCCATATTTCTGTTATGATGACATTGAGATTTTTCAACGGTGATCAATTTTGGAAGACTTGATTTTTCATAAAAAATGTCGAGTGGGTTGGAGGAAGTGAAGTTACATGTACATCGTAAGTAGAAATTGACAAACTGTTTCACTGAATTTAAGGAGTAAGGAAGAAAACTTTAGCTTGGTGAAAAGTTACGTCTTTCACCAATTGTAAGGAAACGATCGGTTGCTGATTAAACTTTCTCACTAGTTGTCTTAGGATGGTCCTTGGATTGAAATGAAGTAAGATCAGAATACCACTCACCCATCTGTAGAGGCAGATAGGATCTGGCTACATGTACCAGTCTTGTTCTCGACAACAATCCCCATACGGGTGATCTAGATGATAGAGAACCGTAAAGCAAAATGGTTTCAATTGGGTGACAAAGGACCACAATATAGTGTTATAATCAAATGACAGACAATCCTTGAATGGGTGTTCTAGATGATGTGAATCCCCACCACATTTACCTCCATATGGTCTGGTACCCACTGCAGCTCAGAGATGGCCATTTTGTGGCTGTGCTCGATTCCTGAGACGGCACAGTAGCGTACGATGGGCATCTGGTCTGTATTCTCATCCTCAAACCCAGGCTGATGGAGAAATCCAAAATAAAGCATCAATATCTTCAAAATTCTGACTCGGATAGATTGTGGCTGAGTTTTCAAAGATGCCAGAAAGCCATAACGGCCTTGCGTGGTAGCCATTTTGCAGGGCAGTTCTTTTGTTCCACAGGGAACTTCCTTTGTGCATAACCTGTGGAACAAAAGTACTAGACTGCAAGATGGCAGCCGTGCAAACCCTCCATTGTGAACAAACAAAGCTCAAGCTAGTTTTCTTCCACTGGATTAAGGGATAAATGCTCCGCTCCCTGACCAAACCAACACACACAAAAAAGTGATTTTTCCACAAAACAAATACAAGATTCATATAACTTAATCTGGAAAAACATTAATAACTTTAGCAAAATTGACGAATGTTAGGCCTGACTGAAAGTCTGAAGAGTGAAATGGTCACTGATATGAACACAAAATATAAACGCTGAACAGAAAAACAACACAGCCATACAACTTGATTCCAATCAGTATCAATTATCAATATCAATCAATTTCAACAATTTTATGACGAATGTCAAGATGAAAATAATGAAAAGTTGACGGCAATGAGCAACAATTTAAAATGTGCGGTTAATGAGGTGCCAACCTTTAAAATCAAATTGGATTTTGTAAGAATAAAAATGTCAAGTGTGGTAGCGAAAACACTCAAGCAAAGCACTGTGCATTAGCAATGTGCTTGGATGAAAGGTTAACAGAACAACAAAACGTGAAAGACAAGCGAATAAAATTAACCTAAGTGGGGTTTGGACATGTGACCTTCTATCAAGCTATTCAGCTCATTGTTGGCAACATGTCAACTCATCGAAAATTTGTTAAGGGCCCAGTAGCTCATTCTATCAACAAACGGTTTAGAGAATTCCTGGCCACTTTTGTAAGCTGATGATTCTCATTTTGATTCTTGCCACGTTAGGCAGGACAACGTAAGTTAAGGATTTCTTTCAAAACATGTTGATTAGTACCAACAGTGTGGCAAAATTTTTTGCTGTTGTCTTGGACGCAACCAGTGGAGATTATCGGTAACAATGGAATGCAATGGGTGAACTTGTGACTGGTGTTAAAAGAGGGTTCTCATCCTTGGCAATAAGCCAAAATGTCTTAGTCACTCATAATGCCTTCCTCCCCCAAGCTCTGTGACTTCCCAAAGGCAATTGATGACCTGTGCTTAATTACCGATTGCCTTCTCTTGGAAATAATCCAATTCTATGAGAACGTGATCGACAGAAAACTCCCTTGTCCCTCAGGAAGTAAACTTGGATGTACAAATACAACCCCTCCCCATCTCCACCTCTCAATGAAAACCCTCTTTTAGCACCGCTAGCATTTGTCTCATTCGGTCTCATTATCCCAGTGAAGACTGACATGGGTATCGTGGGTGAATTTGACTGCGTTTACCTGTTCCCTGCCTCTACCATAATGCTGCATAGGAAAGCAAGAGAGAGCATTGTGTGGCAAGGTAGCATGGAGAGAAAAAAAATGAAAGTCAGACGAAAAGGGACGAGAAGAAAATTAAACAGCCGTTTACACCACAAAATAAAGCAAAATGCATTACAATTTACCACAAACATACCTTAGGGAAATTAAAAGTTGCCCGTGAATTTGACCAAAAGTAAATCTTCCACAATCATATCAAACCCAGTGTGCTTACACTCTGGTCTATATAAATGTATCAGAGTGCTTCAAAATTATTATCCCTGTTCATCAGGCCATGAAATCAGGTTTATGTGGCAGTTTGATACAAGCAAAATCTCTTCTCTGCCCTCATAGGAACACATTAATTTTCATGGGATGTGAGAGGCAACTGTGGTAAAGTGTCCAGCCCAAGAACAAAACTAATGAAGATTACAAACTGGTGCCATTAAAAAACTAAGCAAATATTGATTACCAACCAAACTGCTATAGTTCAGTATTGCTTGTGACTGGTACTTTGCTCTTTACTGCCTGTAGACACATCTGTTTAGAAATCTAGTCTGCATGGCAGCTGTTTGAAAGTACAGTAGTTGTAGTTCTCAAAGCTTCATTCATTTCATCAGCCCATTTCCATGACAACAACCTACCAGCTTCATCATGGAATTCTTCTTGGTCTGTTTGCCGCGCTGGTTGCTACGGAGACGATCAGCATGTTTACTGATATCCCACATGACCACTTGGCCGTTGATACAACCCCCCGCGATGATGTTGGGGTCAGATGGACAGAACTTGAAGCTGAAGATGTCATCGGGGGCTTCCAACAAAATCTATGACAAAAAGTGAATAAGTAAATCTTCCTAAATCCTCCACAATCCTCCACCGTACGGGACCAAAATAGCACACTTTTTTCATACACATAACCAGATTGAGATTAAAAATTTGCAATGCCCCTCTTCCAAAAAGGTTACAACCCCCCCCCCCAACAACAAAAGCCCCGTTCTTCACCTGGGGGTGGATGGGATCTGTGAAGCTCCACAGTAGAATAAGAGACGGATTCATGATGATCTTTGAAGCATTGTCCACGCGGTCATCAAAGGACATCCGCTCCGAGCAAGACACAGCAATGATGCCCTTAATGGTAGGGTGCCATTCGATGCAGGTGATGGCCTTGTCTTTGCTGAACTGGAGATCAGTGAAAGACTGGTATTCCTGCAAAAGTGAGACAAAAGAAGGAACAAACATGAACAAAATGTGGATAATTTGCTTCCTTGTTTCCACTGCTAAGGCCAATGTAATCATGGCAGACCTGCTAAGTGTAAAAAATATTCGCTAAGCTAACACAGGTTACCAGTGAAAACTTTCCTGCAATGCAAACTGCCTGCAACTGGTTCTCAGCTGTTTTGCTGTTCAGTACAAAAATTGGCTCAGCAAAATTTTCTGCACAGGTTCACAAAATTGGGCCTTAACTAGTGATAACAGCAATTTGCATGTCTGGTAACCTCTTCAAGCTAATGATGGAACAATGAAAATGACAGGTTGCATTATTGGATCTAACTATTATTTGCAGTTTACCTTGAGGTGGCTATCTGACTTGCTCCCAAAGGTGCTGTCTTCGTCGGCCAAAGCTAACCAGTCATCGTTGAACACGTTCATTATCTCATTCTGCTGAAGGGATAACTCAAATCTGCAATGCCAACAAAATATGGTAGCAATATCAGGAAATGACGGAGTCGTAAAAAAGACGGATACTAGCAAATTAAAGCTCCATCAAATTTTGATGCATGATTATGGATGAAGTGGGCACCTTGGAGGAAAAAAGTCCAAATCAACGGTGCACGGGAACTATGAGGGCCACCTCACACCTGTTGCAAAATCCACCAAAGACGTAAATCGGTAGTGTGATAACAAGCAGTTATTAGCTGACGCCAATGATGTTCCACAGTGGTCACTTTCTTGAAAAATTTTGTTGATGTGAGCAGTGATTAAAAGGATTTTGTTCTTGCAGTTAGGATTTTAATATGAATGACGTCAATACATTCCAAGTTATACCAGATAAAAGAGAGGAAATCAATAAGCCTTTTACGAGATAAATTTGAATAAATTTGGTAGACTGAGTTCTTTAAATTCCCATGAACAAAACAATTTGAATTTTCCAGAATAAAAACACTGTTGCTATTCCTTGTGATTTGGGGCAAACTTTTGCTAAGTTACATAAGAGATGCCTTGCATTAATACATAGAAGGGCACAGAGGAACCAGTCCATTCCAGGGATGGTGGTTGCTCAGCAAAAGCTTGTCCCGAATCACGAGGTATATCAACAGTGTCTATAGTCTGGGGAACTCAAATTGTTACGTTTCTGTGCAATCAGATAACGCAGAGTGCTAGATTTTCTTCCAATTCAACTCGCAAAAGGCTTAATGATCTGATGAAAGGCTGCGTGGCTCTCTTTGAGTGTTGTCAAATTTTTGAAAATAAAACACAATTCATCAAGGAATGTTATTCCTGAACATCTATCGTTGCATCATGCCAGTGACTTCTCTTGCACGTTCTACACTGACCTTGGGGTGACTTGGTTGAGAGTGTTCAGAAGTTCCTCCATCTCCATCAATGTCTTCTTCTCCTCGTTGTCAAATTCCCGCGGGAAATACTGGGTGGCTTGATTCCGAGGATGCTTCCTGGAAGTGAACGTAAGATTTTTGCTTTCATTTCAACCCTGCTTTTAATATATTTTGTCCCTTATTTTAGGTTCTAACCCTCGCTTTTAGTTCCATGGATGTTCGTTTTCACAGTGAATCCTTGTTCATTCTTATTTTTGTCACAAAGTTTGACCTTGAAGACCTGTAATTGTTGAACCTTTTCTGAATTTTCACTTCTTTTTGTTCCTTTTTCTGTTGATCAGTTTGACAGTTATGCAATTGTAAAATACAGTTATTTAGACTGCATCATAACTGTTTTGATTCGTTTAAATTTTACCACATTTTTAGATTTTCGGTATGGGGTCCTTCATGATAACAAATTTACCAACCGGGTCACCCTGTTTAAAATGATTAGAAAAAGACTCAGCAGTCAAACGTACAATGCCCTTGTATGGAAAAGAACTAAAAAATTGTAAGCTTTAAAGTTATGAGAATGGAAATAAAAGAAGTCTGACCAGTCAGTTTGCGTTCCGTTTTCACTGTAAGTTGGCACAGCTTGTATTCCATAGTCCATCTCCACTTTCTTCACGTTGTAGCTTTTGTCCTCATAGGACGAGCATTCGATGTAGCCATCCTTGACGTCATCTGCATTGCGATCAGTGAAGGTGACCGGGGCACCGAACTCCCGCCGCACTCGTTGGATCGTCATTTTGATCTGTCAACCAACAGACACAAACAAAAAACAAGCATGCTGTAAGAATTTGACGTATGGCACTGCCAGAGTTTTAACAAAACATTGCTATTAAAGGTACAGGCCAGATCTCACTGAATTATTTAGATGATGAATGTTATTGCTCTGAAATGTTCAAGATTGACGATATGTCATACAAAATAAGATTTAATTGAAAAATCGTACCACTTTGATAAAATAAGTTTCTCACCTTAGCTCTACTTTCCGTGACCATCTCGTCTTCAATTTCCACCTCACTGCCCAGAGACACCCATTCTTTAGGTTCCGGGGGCACATAGCGATAGACTACCACTTCTTCTTCGGCGCCCACTCCGCCTTCGCCGTCCACTTGCTCTGCTCCCTCCTCGCCGTCCTCAGGTGGTGGCTGGAAACATGGACCCCCAAACAGTTGTGTAAAACGATTTATAAAGACAATGGAAACTTCAACCCAACCTAGAATTGCTCAAGTTGGAACTGAGCCCCAAACAATGGTAATGAGAGGCCTTGCACTCACATTGAGGATGTGTTGCTTGGCCTCTTCCGTCAGAGCGATGTAAAAGTTCTGGCCCATCCTGAAGTCAGGATCAAACACCACCAAGATTTCCTCACCTGGATAGTCCTGCACAGAAGGAAAGTTACAAAATGACAAAAAGTTGATGGGTTTCTGGGGCAATCAAGAGTCTGGCAATCAGTCTGTCTCCGCTAAACTCATCTTCACTGTTAGGCACATTGTGTGGTTTACAGTCAATACCACTCAAAAACACAAACATACTATTTGCGAGCTTTGTGACCAAAGCCATTCTTATCCCAAAGGATTTCCAACCTGTACAAAAAAGTTTTTAAAAAACAAGTTCTCATCTCCTGGGGGAGGGAATAAATAGCATTTAGCAACATCTGCAACATGGAGCAAATTTGACCCAGAACCACTGATTGGAAAGTGGTTACTCTGCAATGTGCCTTGTGCTTATATGCTAAAACAAAGTTAAGAAGCTCTTTAAATAAACAGGGGTATACTGTTGCCATGGCAACACTAGACCCTGGCTCCCTGCTGTACATGTTTATATGTGTGGCTACTGATAACCAGTGATCGGAGCAACTTCAGTACACAGGTCCACAATAACTGACCAGCCTACTGCATGTGTATGATGAGAGAAGATTAAAGCGCGGTTGAAGCTTAATGGTTAATG